AAAAATAAATAGGTATAGAACTGCAGCCTCAGTTGACCACTCTGCTTTAAAAATGAGTAGCAAATAATTAAACTTCCAATTCCGTTTGGGCTGACTTGGTTTTGACAGTTTTCAAAAATCACCCACTGAAATTTTACAGCACTTCTGAAATGCAGTTTCTTTCCAATATCTGGGCAGAGGGAAGAAGAGGGTATCATCACATTGTTGCCCTGCCCAGTGCAATCTTTGCCTGATAATTAAATAATAAGTCCAGCTGTTAAAAACCTGACCTCTCTCTCTGAGATGTAGGTAAATAGAATTGGCGGGTTGGGTAAGAAAACTTTAATCGGCTTCTAATTCTCATCTCTCTCTCTCTCCTCCTTAAATTTCCTCTTCCTCAAGATTATGCAGCATTTCAGCGTGCCAGATTTTCAGAACACCACGGAGTTCCTGGCATATCTGGCCAAGCGGCAGGGCAAGTTGAAAAAAGGAGGAATACCAGACCACGAGAAGGCTGCCAAAGCGGTGCTCAATGACTGGACTAGGTGAGTGGAAGATAGGACCCTTTTTTTAAAAAAGAACAAAGACCTAGGGCTTTTTGCAGGAACTGTCTTTGATGTAAGCCTCTTTCTTCCTTTCTCTTTGTCTTACTCACTTGGCAGCTCTAATTCAAGTGGGAATTGAAATCAGAGAAAGAAGAAAATGATAGGAATTATTGCAATAGTTCAGTATGGTATTTTGGGGGAGTGGGCGGTAGGAAGCTTTTCCTATAAAGCTTGGATCAACAACATGGCCATCCTTTCCCCACGATGCCCCAACATTTAATTTATGCAGTAGTCAAAACCTTGCCCAGGGTCATGCAACTTGGGCCACTCTCTGTCTATCTCGGGTTTGTGGCCTGAAAAGTTATCGATCCTCGCTATAAAACGTGCACTCTATGAGAGAGGTGGGCGGTCTCTGAATATGGTGAATAACTTTTGTACTTTTGTTTCTTCTAGTGGAAAAATCAGCTATTTCACACATCCGCCTGAGACACACACACTTCCTACTCACATCAGTGCTGAGATTGTGACGGAGATGGGCAAAGCCTTTGATTTTGAGGCACTGGAGCAGGAGAATGAGAAGGCTTTGGCTAGTAAGTGGTTGGGAAAACGGGACTGCTTTCCACAAGATTTGGCCACCATACGATGTTTGTTTTGCCAATCTTTCCTTTGACCAACAGGAGTTTGCCACTCAGCCCAACAGCTGTTTTTATAATACAATACATGTCATCCCTTCTGCAAGAGGCTGACAAAAATGGAGAACATTCTGTAGCCTCCGCCGGTCTCAGATATGTCAATTCTGCAATTCAGCATAATTCTCCGCATTCTTTCAAGAACAGAGTACCTGTCCAATTATGTAATAATGCTGTGGCAATATAATTATAAAAAGCTGCAGTGTGTGAGGTGTTCTGATATATATCAGTTACTGGGATCCTCTTCAAACAGCTATTTCTTTCCCATCATTTCTCCTTCCCTTTTGTAAAAGCTGTTGTGCCTTTCTCAATTCTCTCCAACCTTCCTCTTCTTCTTTTTCTTTATTAGAATAGGTATAACTGAATATAGAGTCTCCCACCAAATCCAATAGGATATTGTTTTCATTTCTGTCCCTCATCCTATATCTGTGGTCCCATAAGTTAAGCCATATTTATATAACTAGAGTTTTGTTGACCTGTAAACTATATTGGCTATGATTTATGACTCAGGATGGATTTGTTCATTCAGCTGGCCTAGCATGTATAGTGTGAAGGAAACAGATTGAATTCTACTCCTTGCTTTAAGCCTCTTTCCGCTAAAAAATGACTATAATTTAAAGACTCTGAATGATGTATTTTTTTTTTTTTTTGATAGACTTAATCTCTGGTCCTGTGGGTATCTTCTTGGAGGGTTCGGGCCTAACCCGTGGGGCAGAAATTGAAATGGCTGAGGAAGAAGGGCTGCATATTACAGAAGAGGCGACTAAGATGGAAGGAGATGAGAATGATGAAGTATGTGCCCCAGCCTTTTTGGTGGGTTTATAGACTACTATTTTGGCAAGCATCCAGGCTCTGGCAATTCTAAATAATAGGCACTGAATGTAGAATCATCTAAGGGGGGGACATTATCTTAAGGTATATTTGTTCTTGTATAAGGTATTTAATTACAATTTCAATATCAAATGTCAAGGCTGCCTGATTCCTTGATGGCTCTAGGCAGCTTATAGATGAAAGAAAAACCATACATATAAAAAAGTCCATGGCTGATCAAAAGAACACACAACTTAACTAAAACAAGATAGAACTAAAGGAGTCTCCACCATCATCTTTTCCTAAAAGCTAGGAGAACCAGATTTCAGACAAAAAAAAAAAAATCCTTTTTCCATAGATGCCATTTGAATCATTGTTAACATTAACAGAAAGCTTGTAAAAACATACTGAAGGGTGATTTTGTGGTTACCTTTTAGAACGATTTTATAATGCATGCTAACTGGAGATTAGAAGTCTAGAGAGCACTTTCCTGAGAAATTCAGAATATTTGTCCTGATAAGAAAAAAGTTGAAGATTTATAAAATGGAGCTAAAAGACCATCAGTATTTGAAACAGGAGAGAAGGGACTGGATCTTCTGCAAAAACATTTCTCAGGATGTTCTCGTCCCCTTGTCAGGTTTGGCAAATTAAATCTTAAAATCATAAAATCCAGTAGCCAGATCAACAGGCCTGGAATTTTACCTTGGGGTGTCAATTGTGTAAAAAACACTTAAGCATTGCTGTGTTTTGGTGAGCAATAGGGCAAATTGAAAGAGTAAATCTCAGCCCACACATAAATTGAGATGAGCACTGACAGTTAACAGAATAGAGAATTCTTGCTTTCACAAAACATCAAAGACCTGGGTGGTGGTTGTTTTTTTTGTCCCCGGCACTGAATTGGGAGTATTTGTGAACCTGTTTAGATTGTTGAATTGTTTCTAGTGCTATTTGCTTTATGCCTTATGTTTGCTTATAACATTCTAGTGTTGTCTTAATACCCTGAGTCACTTATTTCAAAGAGAGCAGCCCAAGTTGAGTTATGTCTTTAACGTCAAATTATTTTATGACAAGTTGAATACTTGCTTCTCCTTCTAGAGTTACATACAACTCAAGAATTTTAACTTTGATGGCTTGCACTGCTGTATCTTCTTATTTTGTTTATAGACGTGCTGTATTTGTACATTTGATCCAATTGAACTCTTTCCTGTTTTTTTATGCTGGTCACTATCAAGAGGGCAGCTATATAAATAAATACATTTTGGGGGCCTGTTCAAAAAAGTGAGGCATTCTTCCTCTTCTTCTTCTTCCTTTTAGCTTGGCCCAATGACTATAGAGCTGAAGTCCAAGAACAAGACTTTAACAGAAGCAGCCAAAGCAGTGCCCAGAGCGCCTGATTTGAGGGAGATCTCAGCCTTGGACCCTCTGCATCAAGGGCAAGGCCTCCGGGCGGCAAGCAAGAAACGCAGAAAACGTCAGAAGCGAGCAGGTGGGGGAGCCAGTTTTCTACTTAACCCCCCATTGTGATTTCATGGGGGGGGGGTAGTCATTTCTCGGCATCATTTTCCCCGTCTGATGATACTGTGCCCCTCTTGGGGCTGTGTAGCTTAAGGACACTACTTGGGTGTAGAGGGAAGAGGGAATGGCCTTGAAGGATAAATGAAACCTGAGCCCAGGCCAAAAAAGTAACTTGAGTAGATGTCTGAGACAGGGCCCTCCATAATTTAAACAAAAATAAAGGGAAGGAGGAGGAGACTTACTTAGACTTGCAAGATTCTGTTACATTAAAAAGTAGTATTAATTTATACAGCATTGGTTCCTTAATCTGGTCTGTCTTGAAGGGCTGAGAATGGATCGTGATTTCCCCAATACCCTCTTTTCCCCTCCCAGAGAACAGTAAGGAAATCATATTCGGGGAAACAGTTCCTTGGTTTTGTTCATTTCTTCCTCTTTAAAGGGAAAGGTTCATAAACTTTGTCATCTGTAACTACTAATTGTGGTGTTTCTTGCCCCCATTTTTATGGAAGTAGCAATCATAAAGGAGTTTGGCTTAATAATAAAACACTGCCCAACTGTTTTAAAAAGCAGAGAGGGCTATTTAATTCAAGAGTGACTTCTTCCCATATGTACTTAACTATAATGGGCTTTTTTTCTATTTTTGTCAAATGCCTGTACACGGAGCAACAGAGCTTCCCTCTTACCTGCATATTTTTAAAAACTTGCAAAAACAGTTCAGATTCTAATCTCATGTGGCCTTTCTCCACAGACAAAATTGCAACCAAACTATCTGCAAGCCTGACAGCAGCCATGAACTTCAGCTTGAAGGATGACTGAGGAAAACTGGATGCTGGGCTGCTATTGATCTACCTCAGGAAGACTGTTTCAGCATGGCACACCCGTAGGAGAAAGAAGTTCCCATCACACCCATGCATCATTGTGGAACGGATCTCTGCAGGCCTAGGAAGAACTAATGAGCTATTTTTGCCAAGAAAGTTTATTGAACAGGTTAAAATCAGACTGTTAAAATAAGGGTGTAATTGCATTAACATTGTCTCAGAGCTGGCTCTTAATATTACAGCAGATTTACAGAAAAGAAAAGTCTCGTTCCAACTCAAGTGTCTCAAGTGTCTTCAGTGCCAGATTCGACTGAACAGAGGCACACGCAGAGGTGTTAGTTCGGCTCTTCTAAAAGAGCATACAGGAATGCCGTTCTTGAGAACAGTGACTCGGGGACATTTCCCTTCTAGTCAGAGCTGCAAAAAGGAGGAGGTTACTGGGCCAAATCGTGTCTGGGGAGAAATTCTAGAGTTAATTAAAATTAATTTTAAAAAAAAACTCTTTGTAACCGTGTCTACCTATTGATCTATTTTCTTGTCAACCAGGGACTGAAAGTTAAAAATAGCTAGATTAAGAATATGAAGCAGGCCATATCAAACCCAGGCATAATAATATCTGGCTGAACTCTTTAATATCTTTGAAGATTTTTTAGGCTACTCGGAGAAAATCAAATAAAGGAATCATATGTCCCAGATCTGCTTACTCAAAGAAATATGATTATTGACCAAAAACCTTGCCAAGGTTCCTTTGGCTGCATCCATGAGGTTATTGATACCTCTTTGGCTCTTCTTGCTGACATCTGGGGCTCAGGCCTTATCAGCTTGTGAAATAGTCTGGATGTTGTAGAGACTGCCGACTCCGAAGGTTGTACCGCGGAGTCTGTAACAGGCAAGACAAACATTACCTATTCAATTTATAGTTGCCCATCTCACTATCCAGGCCGATTCTGGCCGGCTACAATTATGTAAAAGCATAAATACAAAAGCATTATTTATTTATTTATTTATTAAAATTTATAAACCGCCCCACTCCCGCAGGACTCCAGGCGGCTAACAATAAAAACACAATATAAATTAACAAGACAAACAATACAGTAACATTCATCCAGGGGTCAGATTTTATAAACCCCAGGCCTGCTGGAAAAGCCAGGTCTTAAGTAGCTTGGGGAAAACCAACAGGGTGGGAGCGGTCCTAATCTCCGGGGGGAGCTGGTTCCAAGACATGGGCGCCATCACAGAGAAAGCCCTCCCCCACGGCCCTGCCAAATGGCACTGCTTGGCCGACGGGACCTGAAGGAGGCCCAGCCTGTGGGATCTAACCGGACGAAGGGAACTATGAGGTAGTAGGCGGTCTCGCAAATAGCCTGGCCCTGAGCCATATAGAGCTTTAAAGGTAATAAAAATGTTAATTAAATAAAAACTTAATATGAAAAGCATGGATGGTACAGGGATGAGCTTTTGTCTCTCACTCAATAAACCACCTCAATTTTAAGGCACTTTCAGAAGGCCAGGAGGGTGGAAGTGGATCTCTCCTCCGGAGACAAGGCGTTCCACAGTGCAGGAGCCACAGCTCTTCTTGACCCCACTAGCTGAAATTTCTTGGCAGGGGCTCCAAAGATGGCCTCTTCTGGCAGAGTGAATGGCACAGGCCCACCACAGTGGAGCAAGAAGTTTCCTCAGATGCAGAGAATATCTGCAGGCCTGCTTTATTATTTATTTCATTGTAAGCTGCCCAGAGTCATGAATGTGAGATGGGTAGCTATATAATAGTCCTTGGGCTATTCATTGATGGTCAGGTAAGAAACGTAACTGCCCTGTGCTGGCAGAAGAGTTTTGTGTATAATGCAGTGTGCTTCTTAAAAGAATGAAAGGTTATATTTCTGCAGGGACACTCGGGGGAAAGAAAAACTTTTAGAGAAGCATGTTTAAAGAAGAATTTCTGCTGCAGAGTAATAGCATTACCTGAAAAGTTTGTGAAATCTCAGGTCTGTTTCCTTTTTGCTGTTACGTGACCGAAAACCATGTAATTAGAGCAGGGATATTCTAACATTAGTATAGTATAATATACAAGCTATTTCTCAAATGTGCACGAGACAGGAAACCAATTGGTCCTAATTCTACAGCAGTGGTTCTCAACCTGTGGGTCGGGACCCCATTTGGGGTCGAATGACCATTTCACGGGGGTCGCCAAACAAGGCTGTCCACCATTTTTTCCCTTTTCTTTGGCCACGCCCCTGGCACCTGGTGATGTATAAGTGGTTGGGGGTCACCACAACATGGGGAACTGTATTATGGGGTCGCGGCATTAGAAAGGTTGAGAACCACTGTTCTACAGCAATGCGGTAAGCCCTTTTCCATCAGTCAGGCTGTTTTTTGAGCCAATTTTTTTTTTTAAAAAAAAAATATCCCCAAAATCTTTAATGAGAAACAGAATTATGCAATATATTGTGACACACAACCGCATTTGCTATCAGTTCAATCCGGGATTTGAAAGGTAAGCAACCATGAGTAAACTAATTACTGAATTCTGCAGTGTGATAGCAGAAAGTAAGTAGGCTAGATGCATGCCATAAAAGTTTGAGAAGGATGCAAAATGTAAAATAAGTGCAAATTTATAGAAAACGTGCAGTATCTGCTGAAATTTAAAAGTGAACCAAGGGCTGGAATAAAGTTCCCAAAACTTGAGAAGGGTGCTGCAATCATGGATGCTTCATTACCCTTCCCTCCCATTTAGTAGTGTAGTTAAGTCAGAATGGAAAAAACCCACCTCCACTATCTACCATAATTTAGTATACAAATTTAAATATGTGAACTTGAACATTGCAGATTTCAGCCTAGCGTCACAGTGAATTCTTGGAAAATAAATCTTTCCTCTGCAGCGTTATTGCTTCTAAATCATTTCTCCCTACTTTTAGCTTAATATCCCTCACTCCCCCACTCCAAAAACACAGCTTGGGAATCAGCCCAAGCAACATGAGGGCATTTAGCATATATTTTAGGGACTTTTAAGGGAAAGTGGAGGATTGCTTAAACTCCCAAAATTCTACAGCAGGATAGAGAAGTCCCTTGAATATTTCATGATCAGATGTCCTCCGTGCAGGTTAGACTCTTAACTCCCAGGATCCCTACTAGCAGCATCGTTTCTTCTGTAGAAAATTTTTTTTCGCCAAATGACCTGATGTGACACTTGGCTTTAACTCACCCCATCCACTGGTATAGAGATTGTCAGCAGCTGAGTAGCAACGTTTTGGGATTGCCTTTGACGGTGGAGCAATGAATGACGAGACTGGGAAGACGGCCATCCTCTCAGCCTGGAGCTGCTAGTCCGCATCTCATCTGATAGAAGAAAAACACTGCATTGATGACTTTCAAAGATGCTTTTAGGAATGAGTGGAAATTCCAGTTTATGAGATTATACCAGCCTCTGGGAGCCAGACTTATCCTATGCAAGCACATTTGTTTAAACACCGATCTAACACATGAGAATTACTGAGAATGTTGAAGATTGATTCACGTTAGTACACCTTAATGGTCTCCCAAGAGAAGATTTTTCCTGAATAGCCAAATCTTTACCAGTTGCCTAAAATTCTTCTCTCCCACCCAAACAAACCTCCCAAACTGGGACGTTTCACAAGAAGGCTGTTGCTGCTGCTAGTGAAAAGGAACAATTCTTGCCGTCTTCAGATAGCAGCCACAGCAGAACCCCAACTGCTGTTGATGTGTAGAGAAGGCTATGAGAGAAAGGCTAGTCTTGGATGTGCTTTAAAAGCCTAATAAAGCAGAATGCGGAACATACACAAACACTCTGCATTGGGCTTGACATTATCTAAAAGCACATACAAGGAGTCTATGGTCTTCCGTGTATTATTGGATTACTCCTGGCAGATCCAGCCAATATGCCCAGTGCTAACTGAACCCAAAAGGGATTCCGAAAGGGATTTCTTTACACCATTGTAGCGTCATTCATTCATTCTTATTCTTCTTTATTGGCTCCTGACGACTGCCTGGACAGGTTCCTGAGTTTTCCTGGCAAGGTTTCAGAGGTGGTTGCCACTGCTTGTTTCCTAGGGCTGAAAGAGTGACTGGCTCAAGGTCTCCCCAGCGGGCTTTGTGCCTAAGGTAGGTCTAGAACTCACAGACCTCTGGGTTTCTAGCCCTGTGCTTACTACATTGGTTCTCCATAGATTCTTGGCAGAGCTGTAAATAACCTAAAAGTCTACAAACAGCAGTTATTGCCCACTTACCAATTACCTGCAGGTTATTTTTGTAGTTCAGCTGCTTTACAGCCCATCCTTGGTTTTCACAGTCTGCTGGAGAAAGGACTACAACAAAGCACTTGTTAGAGATGCATATTGACAAAGTGTCGTCCTTTTCAAAGAATTTTTCTAACGTTTATCAGATAGGGTTCTTTCCAGCATTAATCAAAAGCTGTCTCTCCCCTTGCCTTTCTGCAAGTATATTTGTGAGATTAATAGCACAGAGGAGAGTAGATTGCAATCATATTATATGCCATAAAATGGTAAGTTTGTATTTGTAGACATACTTCCCTGTGGAATGGTAGCATTGTCTAGACGGTACAAAATACTGAATATACAAAGCAGGTTTGCAAAACACATTAGACTAAAATGTGATTGACTATTTGTTGTGGTTCAGTGTGCAAACATAGACCGAATCAATCAAGGTCAGCAATTCCCGGAAAAGGGTTCAAATGGAAGTAGTCTGTTTGAGCCTATTTGTTTAATTGAGGTGGGGGCGGGGGGGAAGCATCGGATAGTACTTGAAAACACAATTGCAGCAAGCGGCAGCTTCCAAAGTTTAGTTCTTTCAAAGTTTGCTCTTCCTTCAGAACCAAATTTCAGCATCATGGCAATCTGCTAAGGTTGGTGAGGAACAGAGCGACATCTAGGCAGAACCATTCAATGGCGTTTCACAGAAGGTGGGAGAGTTAACATTATGCTTCCTCCTTCTCCCGGACCTGCCCTTTAGTCCCTAAGTGATCCCAATGCTATCTGCTACTTTCCCATTCCTCCACCAAGATAGCACTCACTTCTCTGGTATTCAGTCCAATACTCTTTTGCGTCCATTTCAGCTCTCTTCTTTGAACAGAATAGCAGCTTTGAGACACCCACTTCAGTCAATACCTCCTTTTCTGTTCTAGGCTTGGTATCTTGAAACAGAAGCTCCGGTTTAGCCAACAGCCTCTCTGGGAAAAAACAGATGGCACATGCTGAGAAGAATCCATCAAGAGCTAGAAACCTGACATGCTTGCATTCTATACCCTGGGCCAGACAAGATCATAACTGTAGTAAGATTGTTATATCATGTATTAATTATTCAGGTCTGGAACATCAGCGTGCAGGCTGAAGCCTCTGGGTTTTCTCATTATATGGTTTTACCAACTTCATGTCTCATTTACTTGTAATGCATACAGAGGGACCCGTGTCACTCCCTAAAGCGCTTGCATACTCTTCTGCTAGGCAAAAGGACAAGGGAGATGCTGGCTAGCAATCATTAGGCAACCACAGCTCTCACATCTTCTATTCTTCATGTCAAAGATGGAGTAATGCATTCATACATATTCCGCAAGCACCCAGCCCTTTGAAATGGAACTAGTTGAACAACCCGAAGTACTTGTACATGGACAAGCCTTTCCCTACTTTCAGCCAACTGCCTTCCTTCCTGTGTACCTTTCCCTTGATTAGCATCCCCAACCTGGAGATGGGCAGAAGCACCAGCTCCCATCTCTGTGCCTCTTCCATCAAAAGATCCGACACAGACTACTCCTTGGGCAAAGCCAAGCCATTTCTTCCTCCTCCTCAAGCCCACAACCGCCCGTTGCTCCTCTTTCGTTACCAGTTTCGTGTAAAAGTTGCTGAATCTCTTTCCGAGTTTCCTGCAGACTCTGCAGCACCTCTTGGCTCTGTTTGGCTGGGTCCTTGTAGGTCCAAATAAAATAAGCTAGTATAGCTGTGCACAGGCAAGCAAAAATCCGGCGCGTCAGGCCGACCCAGAAGGAGATGCTTTCCTAAGAGGAGGATAAATCAGCCCACTGTCCCCATTCAGTCACTAAGAGATGGGCAACCATGAGGCTTAAGCTTCCTTAAACTTCAACAAAGAAACTCTACCTTCTCTTACTTCAGACTGGGTCATGGAGAGTTCTCATAGCTCATTATGAACAGCAGCCAGGTGCAATTCCCTCACCCTACCCTCAATACTTCATAGCTGAAATTATATTGGACTGATGCCCTAAAATTTCTGATGCCTTGCAGCATCAGAAATATGTATAAAAATGCTTTGTAATGCATGGATGAACCTCAGGCTGATAACTGAATGAAATTCCAACAACATGCTAGATTTAAATATTCTGCCCGATTTGATTTTTTTTTAATTTATCACTTAAGAAGAGGGAAATCTTTTTCAATCAGAATTTCAGCATGAAAAAAAAAGTATCCCTCTTTCTCGTTGCATTTATTGAGAGACACAAAGTGGCATCAGAAGGGGCTTTTTTCAGGTGCCAATCTAAGGGTAGGGAGAGAATTTTCTGAGTATAATGCAGCACTGTTAGTGAGACTTGTTATTTAAAATCTCAGTAATCGTATATAACAGCGGTTCTCAACCTATGGGTCGCGACCCCATTTGGGGTCGATCGACCATTTTACAGGTGTCGCGAAACAACGCGATCCGCCATTTTCCCCCCCAGGGGGCGGCGCCGCGCATGCACGGCGCGTCCGTGTGACGGAGTCGCCGTCACACGAAGATTGAGAATCGCTGGTATATAATCAGGACTTGCGACTTCTTGAGGGATGGTATAGTGATTGTATGCCTAACAGAAGCAGAGTAATGGACAACTACCATAACTGGACTCTAAATAATGCAAAAGAGAAACAAAACAAATACCAGGGATGCCTAATTTCCACAAAGAAATTAGCATTTTAATTGTTCTGGCACTGAAACCCTTGACTGTAATTTTTCATCACATTTTGTCACTACATGGACAGCCCATCAATGAACCCGGCACTTCCAGCTTCGGTAAATAGCTATGAACTTAATTCAAATGTAAGGGTGGCAATGTTAGAAATTCAGATTTTATTCCTAAAGTATGGCTACTTTGTGCCTGCATGCATTTTGCTAATAACAAAACAATCCTCGAGACTCTTCACCGAATCAAATTAAGGTGAGAATTCAACCGGGGGGGGGGGCTAGGAACCTTCTGCTTCCTCAGAATCATTTAGCTCCGCTTAACTGTTTCTCTAGCTCTACAGATCCCCTCAAAAGCTTGTTTAATTGCAGCCACTGTCCCTTAACAAGGGTGAGCATGACATCATGACACTGCAGGCAAAGACCTGGGGACAAAAACTCATCAAGTCATTTGTGCTGGAACAGTAAGACAGTTCCTCAGTTGAAATTAGCATCAAAGCACTCCCTCCAGGCACAACCTATTTTTGGTTACCAATCTTGTCTTTCTCTCTCTCTCCATTTGCTATTGCAAAGGAATGACCCTACCGTCAGGTCGTAGCCCTCCTCTGAACGATCCAGGAGAACGTTGCAAATAACACGTTCCAGATAAATATTAGCTCCCACCAAGGTCAGCAAAATGAGCCTGGAGATAAAAGGGGGGAATAAAAGACCATTAAGAGAAAGCGTGGAATATATTTCCACAGTCTACACGACCGTGGCTTACATTCAGAGAAGAATGGATTCTTACGGTTTTTGCACAATTACACATTTGGACAATTCCAGCTTCCTTTCGAAAGGTAGCTAATTTTTAGTCCTCATACTGTATATACATGGAAAAGAAATTTTGGCATAGAAATTGAACTGCACCTTTACCAAGCTTTGACTCTAGACCTACCGAGGATGCTACTTCGTTGGCAAAAGGTGAGATGCCAACTTTTACATTTGCTAAACGCTGAAAACATGAACACTATATAAATAATAAATGCAGTGTTTTGAATAAATACAACTTGCCCCTACTTCCTATTTGTTGCAGATACCTCACTATTTCCTCATCTGCTGTCATCCACAAAAAAAGTAAAAAAACCCCAAACCCCTGAATCTTCAATTTTTTTCTATGGCACCTGTATGCAGAAATGTCCAGTCTTATACAGGCTGTCCTCAACTTACGACCAGTTGGGACCAGATTTTCCATTGCTAAGCAAGGCGGTTGTGAGTTGCAGCCAATTTTACGATCTTTTTTTGCCACAGTTAAGAGAATCGCTTCAGTTGTTAAGTGAATCTCACAGTCACTAAGCAAATCCAGCTTTGCTTGTTTGCTTGGGAAGATCACAAATGGCGATCATATGACCTCAGGGTACTGCAACCACCATAAATGTATGCTGTTTGCCAAGTGCCCAAATTTTGATCACGTGGCCATGGGGACCAGTCACAAATCACTTTTTTTCAGTGCCACTGTAACTTTGAACTGTTGCTAAACAAATGGTTGCAAGATGAGGATCATCCATATTAAATTTTCACTGACTGCAGTCTGATGGTATGATTGCTGAACAACTGCAGGGAAGGCAAACAGTGAAACTGCCTTACACTGAGCTAGATCTTTGGTCTTATTGCCAACACTAATTGACACTGGCTTTCCAAACTTTCAGAAGCCATTAAATCTAGCACAGTGTTTCTCAACCTGGACAATTTTAAGGCATGTGGACTTGAAACCATTAAATCTAGCACAGTGTTTCTCAACCTTGACAATTTTAAGGCATGTGGACTTGAAGCCATTAAATCTAGCACAGTGTTTCTCAACCTTGACAATTTTAAGGCATGTGGACTGTTCAAGGACCTAGCAATACCTGGAATTCCTTGGAATTAAAACTAGGGATGTTCAGTATAAGAAAAAGATCCTCTACAGTTCCTCTTTCACAGTCTAATCAATTCTGCCAGAAAAAAGAACAGTACAACCTGCCTCCAGAAGCGGTGAATGCTCCAACACTGGAAGTTTTAAAGAAGAGACTGGACAGCCATTTGTCTGAAATGGTAGAGGGTTTCCTGCCTGAGCAGGGGGTTGGACTAGATGACCTCCAAGGTCCCTTCCAACTTTATTATTATTATTATTACATTATGTGACCAAATTACTTGGGCTGATTATGTCAAAGGCTATTTGATTTATTGAAAATATTTAGATAACTGCCCGTCTTAGGCAACCTAATCCTGGGCTGCTCATAAATGACAATAAAAGCCATTAAAACATCTCGTATCACTTCTTGTTGCACCAAGAAATACACCCTCCACCTGCATTCCTGATCCAGTCATTTTGAGGCGGACTGGAACACTGAACAATCGAAAGCATTTTAGGTTCTTCTGCTTTTTTTCCTCACCGAGCTCTTGCAGTTCGCTGGCTAGAGGTCAGCAGCAGTGCAGTAACACCACTCAGGAGATGGAAGAAGACAGAATAGAGAGCATTGGATTCCCCCACTACAAAGCGGTGCAGGAAGGTCACTCGATTAAAGATCTCTGCAAAGGCTACTTGTTGCTCGATGGCTGAATTCTGCAGTTCTTGGAAGGCCTGGTGTATACCTGCAGAAGGGAGAGGAAGGACAAGAAGCCATTGCCCTCCCGGACAAATTGGGTATCTTATTTGGGGCACTTAATGTGACTGTAAAAAAAAAAAAGATTATTTGGGCCACTTACACACTTACACACAAAGATGATCAGGGGACTGGAGGCTAAAACATATAAGGAACGGCTGGAACTGGGTATGTCTAGTTTAATGAAGAGAAGGACGAGGGGGTGACATGATAGCAGCCTTCCAATATCTCAGGGGCTGCCACAAAGAAGAGGGAGTCAAGCTATTCTCCAAAGCCCCTGAAGGCAGGACAAGAAGCAACGGATGGAAACTAATCAAGGAGAGAAGCAACCTGGAACTAAGGAGAAACTTCCTGACAGTTAGAACAATTAACCAGTGGAACAACCTGCCTCCAGAAGCAGTGAATGCTCCAACACTGGAAGTTTTAAAGAAGAGACTGGACAGCCATTTGTCTGAAATGGTATAGGGTTTCCTGCCTGAGCAGGGGGTTGGACTAGATGATCTCGAAAGGTTCCTTCCAATATCACCCCCACCCCCACCCCCATCATCATCATCTCCTACAGAGAAAATCTGTTTCTGTCATTGAACAAGACCCCTCGTATAGTTGAGGCTCGCTGTCTGTAATACCTAATTTCCCCCCCACAATTTTGTAACTTTCTTATCATAGTCTTTCTTCCCATTTGCTGGGCATTATATGCATACATGGAAGGACTAGATGAGGCAAGGTCAACAGCAAAAAGCTCAAACCAGACAGGTCTGTTACAATAATAATGCCCAGCTATCAACCATTCTATCTATCTAAGCACAGGCCCCAGGCCTTAGGCCTGAAGGTCAACTGGGTGATTTTGGACCCGATACTCTCTTCTCAGCCCAACCCATCTCACACGACGGTTATTGTTGTGAGGAAAATAGGAGAAGGAGCATTAGAGACTGCATGTTTGCTGTCTTGAGTTGTTTATCATAATAATAAAGGCGGGATATAAAATAAGTTAAATAAAAATATAATACAAGATTGGGAAAATAGATGTCAGAGTTGAATGCTGATTCTGCCGTATACATTGCTTGCACCTCACACTCTGCAGTTCCTGAATTTATGGATTTTGGGGGGGTCTGAAATAAAACTAGCTTATCTTGGGCTATATACTTGGATTGCTACCTGAATCTAGTTCCAGTATTAGTCAAGAATAACCCTGCCCATATTTGTACTTCCAACACCCCCTCCCCCCCCGCAATTTTTAATTTTGAATGTTACAGCACAAATAACTTGGCAGATCTAGGCGTCGCCAGTATTTTTAGATCCTTTCCTCAAATCCTAGTTTTACAAAGCTTGGTAGCTTCTGATGCAATCCTTATGGCAAGACTGAGTGAGGCTGAGTTGACCAAGCAGTATGAAATATAAGGTCAACCGTAAGGGTAAATCAGTCTAAACCAGTGTTTCTCAACCTTGACCATTTTAAGGCATGTGGACTTCAACTCCCAGAATTCCACAGCCAGCATTGCTGGCTGTGGAATTCTGGGAGTTGAAGTCCACATGCCTTAAAATGGTCAAGGTTAAGAAACACTGGTCTAAACTCCTCCTGAATTTTCAAAAGTGGGAAGAGGCTCTTGGCGTTCAAGGGCCATAATACAAGTTTGCAAATTAAACTAAATTAAACTTCGATAATCCCAGTTAATGTTTCTAGTCATTGTAGGCTTAGAAGGGCATTCCCCTTGAAGAACTTCTGCTAACCTGAGCGGGTGGTAGCATCAAACTATATACCTAAACACTCTGACTCGGTGTAAGACATCTCCATGTCTTTCTAAGTATACCTGCTAGAATGTGGCTTTACTACTTAGACTGGCACAATAACACGCTTTGTGTAGTTATTTACAAGTGTACAGTAGTGGCCAAACTTGTGGAAACCTTTTGGGAAAAGTGTATTTTTGAGGTTTGAAGGCTAATAACACCACTTTTTTGGGGGAGTAGTACCATAAAATTATATATCAATGGAAAAATAATTTAATCAAGAACGTAATGCAACATAGTTTGTTCAATTATCTGTACTGTATTCTATGAAAAGTTATAGCCAAATAACCAGAAAAAGGAAGCACGACTTGCTTAGGTTGATATCAGGTAGCTTTCCTTTATCTGATTGTAGCCAATGAGCATGAGTGTTTAGAGAGCCAATCAGGTGTCATCTTGTTTTGGCAATGAGCCAATCAGATCACAGTAGGATTCAGTTACTGATGTCATGTATTGAAGCTGAGAGGAGGACATTTGTCAGTGTGTTATGTGATCGCTATCAAGTTGGTTGGGTTTTTTTGTGTTCTTTCATTTAGTGAGCTTGTAAAACGTTAACAAAATTAAAGTAATGGTGCAAAGAGTTGACTGGTTGCCCAGAAAGTGATGCAAAATAGTATTATTAAGTGAACAAGACTATAGTTATAAAGAAATTTGAAGAAAAATTGGTGGAAACTTAACCAAAGGTGGCATTTCTACTGTACACTTTTCCCAAAAGGTTTCCACAATTTTGGCCACTACTGTTATTTATGTATACACAATACATAGCTGCTGTATGCAGTGTCTTTGAGTACGAAGTGTACAGTACATAATGCATTAGGCAGTTGTAAAGTGATACTTTTCATCTCACAATGTGCAAGGGGGCTTGAGAAATATGCTCCTGCTAACGAGCTGGCTCAGGAGCCCTGAATTCCAATTCCAGTTTCATAACAAATCTCACCGACATCTCAGGTTTGCTTGCAGCTTGCAGCTTATGGCAGTTTGTAGGAATATTTGATATAGCAATGAGCTCCTCAAAAAAACGACAACAACACAATTTATATAGTCCTCAGGTTACAACCACTTGTTCAGTGACCACTCAAAGTTTCAGTGGTGCTGAACAAGAGGAGCATGTAACCGGTCCACAAAGTTGCAACCATCACAATATCCCTGCAGTCACGTGAGCATGATTCAGGCAAGCCCTGAATCACCAACCCATGGTCATGTGATTGCTATTGTGAACTTCCCTGCCAACTTTCCACGAGCAAAGTTAATGGGGAAGATAGCAGGAAGTTGCAAGTCGCTTCCTGCTTTTCCTTGTATTGACTGCCCACAACACCCACCTCTGGACTCTGTGGCATCCCCTCTGTACATATAGCTCTTGCCTACTGACCCGGTTGCCTGGGTCCCCCACCTGTTCTCAGACTGCAGTCACATGAGCTTCTTGTTTAATGACCCAACCAATCCTGCGGCTACAACGGCAACCAAGATTGCTAAGATTACCATTGTTAAGCAATGAGGTCAGATGATATTGCGACTGTATTTTAGCAATGGGAATCCCAATTCTAAGGACTACCGATAATCTGTATGAAACAAGTACTAAGCCAATGGTGGCAAACCTATGGCATGAGTGCTAGAAGTGGCACTCGGAGCCTTCTCTGTGGGCACACGCACCGTCTCCCCAGCCCCGCATCCTCCCACGGCCCTCTCCTCACCAGCAGCCCCCCACAGAGGAGAGTCGCCCCTGGGCGCGGCCCATACGAAGCAGCGCAGCCAAGGACATGGTAGCCGGGGACCAAACTCCGCCTTACAACCCGTTGCGCACAGATGATGCTGTGGGGCACGGGCGGAGGGCGTGGCCGCCATGGCACTGCTGGGTGCTCTGTGGCAGGCAGTGGAGGTGGTGAGTGGCCCAGTTGGCAGGGAGGAGTGGGGATGGGGGTGGGGGGCTGGTTTTGGGCACTCGGTCTCTAAAAGGTTCGCCATCACTGTACTAAGCTATCACGTTCCTGGGGAAAGCAAGCTTTGTACACATGGACTTGTAAATCTGTTCATAACAAGTTTGTGCCTTGCCTTGCAATGGTTTTTGGATAGCATAATCCAGGCAAAGAAATTAAGTAGCTTGGAATACCTTTCCCTGTATGAAATGAATTTTTACGCGTTATCTTAAATAATGCATTTCTAAATGTATCATTTTCCAAAACATGTGCCTTCTGACATGTTTACTGGAATCAAAATCTGCCCTGCATCATTTTGAGAACTGCAAAATCAAAAAGGTCATTGATTTACAATCCACTAATTAGCCCAGCTGATGTAATTGATCACGTCTGGCTTGCATTCCGATTCCCAAATTACCAGTTTCTTAAGTTGCAAACCATAGGTTGCAAGCCATTTAGCAGCTTTTTTTTTTAAGTCACTAACTTAAAAAAAACACTGAATTAAGGCATCAAAATTTGTTTCTCTAGATATATTTTTATGAGCTTGAAAGTTGTGTCAGAAGTTTTTTGAGTCAATATACTAATGCTTTAGTGTACGCCAGTACTTTTAAGAATTGAATTTCCTGCCCATACAATATGACACCAGATGTTTTTGCAGATTAACACAGACAGGGGTATGCCCGTAGGGATGATCTCTGTTAATATCTAGCTATCAGTGCAAACTGTTAAAAGGAATAATAACGCAGCTTTGTTCTCAGGTCACCTTGGGAGGAGTCACGGAGCGTCTGCCATAGCAGCTCCCCATCGCGCAAGATCTGCTCCTGAGAGCGCAAGGTGGCATTTTGGATCCGAGCCGTCTCTTCTGCAAGCTGGTTGGTAGATTCCAACTGTTGGGCCACGGTTTCTGAAGAGGAGATCAGCCTGGTAGGTGTAGATAAACAAGGAAGTAACTCACTCATTGTGGTCCAAGGTAAACCCTCCACTGTATTTCCAAAAAGTGCTCCTACCTGAAAGGGTTCTTATTGACTTGCCTACCCAAAAGTCTATTTTGGCATCTCAGTGGCAACGTTGGCACTGGCATGAGATCAGCAAAGGCTGGCTGTGGAAATATTGCAGCCTGCACTAACCATATTGAAAGCTTTCACAACTACAGCGATAAGCGTGCTTCATCCAGGTGACTATCAGGAGTGAAGCCTAAGTGACCTGTCAGCTCCCTCTCCTCCTATAGTGAAGGTCAACTACATTGACAACTAAACTATTACTGTATCCCATCATCATCTTTCCTCCAGCAGTGTTTTTGTGTGCTTTTTTTTCTTGCTTCCAAATTATGTTCTTGAAAACCAATAAAGGCTTACATGGAAAAGGAGAAGCGTTTATCCATTTATTCAAATCTGAACCTTGGCATGCTATGCAAAAGATGAAATATTGAAAATTGGACCAGAACCTCAGAAGTACCCATTGGTGTGGATAAATTGAGATGGGAACTGCCAGTATTCCCAGCATATGCCTTGGTTTATTTTGATAATTAAATTAATTAAATATCTCTGGATGGGAGATACTAAACATGTAAATAAAGAATTGATGTGGCTAAGCAGAGACTTGGAAGTCACTGGATCTTCTGTTCTGGTACAGATTCACCAAATGGAACGTGGCCATCCTAGGCGCAGACATTTGAAAATGAAGCCAACTGAACTCTATGGACTAATTTCTGATTAAATATGCATAGTTCATGTTTTATCTTTTAAAAAGAATAGGGTAAAGGGGATTGCACTTTTTAAATAGAAATAAGGATTATTACATTTAATTTTTTCAATACTATAAAATGAAGTTGGTATTTATAGTGTCCAGTATACTCATGGAATATCGTTTATAAATCCTAATCTGCACTAGGGTTTATAATCTATAAGCATTGGAGTGGAAACCTGTGGTCTTCCAAATGTTTCTGTTTATCTGCTGGACTGATGGAAACTGTGGTCTGCTATATAACGACATCCAGCTATCTAAGTCCATTGCCTCTGTTCCATGTTCATGTATCTTTTCCTCAATTATCTAAGGCTGAGTTGAGGTGTTAATTTCTTTTCCAGATTGTCACTGCCGGAACACACAAAGGCAGGAACCATAAAGTGCCAATTTCCCGGTGCCCCTCCTCAGGTCACAGATTGCTAATTAGGCCCCAAGTAAAAAAAGCCAATCTGTAGCCTTGCTCATTGAGCTCTCCCCCCCCCACACTCTTTACACAGACTTTTCCCTCCATTTTCACCAAGTGTCAGCTAGATAAAAAAAGATGCAAGTAGATCTGATGGGATGTGCTTCCCACATTAGATAATCTGTCCTTCAGAAACTAGCCTATAACCACAGAAAACACTGGAGTGACATTGTCATTTGGGGGCTCGTTCACCTCCTCTCCGCATGTACTGTAGATATGGGGCATTACATTGAGTGCTGCCAGTTCCGATGGTTGACGTGAAATTCTGAAGGGTTCTACAGACCTGGCAGGGAAAGAGTTATCAAGTACATCACTCAGGCCTGCTGATTTCCAGATGTTTAACTCTTTCAGCAGCAACTTTTTTCTTCCCACAGCAAGCTAAAAGCATGAAAACAACCAATTGGCTGGCAATAGACAAATCCACAGTGCAATTCAATGGACAAGAACACTGTTGAATCAGTCCCATTTTAAGTATAGCAGTCACCCCTTGTAGATTGCAAAAAAAGGGGAAGAAGGTTGCTCTGCTACTGAACAGATATTCCTTGGAAGCTTAACCCTCTTCTTCTTCAGATAATATTATGGACGCCCCCCCCCTCAAGAAAGAACAGCTCCAGAGTGGCTTCTCCCCTTTCCTCCTTTCCAGGAAAAAAAAAAGATCCTGCACCCAAGGACTGAATGACTGCAGAAAGAAACAGGAAAAACATTTGAATGTTATTCTAAAAAAGTACTTCAGAGCATCTGAGGACACAAAATACTGCACCTGTAACTTTTTAAAGCAGCTGCATCATTTACTGGGATCACATGATATAGAGTTGCTACACAATCTGCCACTTAAAGATTATTTATCTATTTGTCCATAATTATAAACCAGTGATGGTGAACCTTTTATAGACCGAGTGCCCAAACCGCAATCCCAAACCCACTTATTTATCACAAAGTACATCAGCATTGTGGTGCCCTCAGGGGGAGGGGGCAGGGAGGTGCCTCTGAGTGCCACCTCTGGCACGCAAAACCCGGGGGCGCAAAAATGGGCCACCGTGCTGAAAGGATAAAAAAATGGCCACCACCGCACCGCCGAGTGCAGATACTAGGCGCACCACGCAAGAACGGGGCATGGCTAGTAAGTTTCATGCAGGCACTTGCCCCACCCCATTTGCAGTGCATGCGTGCTTGTGGCTCCCTGCGCACATGTACGCATGTAAAATGCTCCCCCCTCCCTTTTCTTCCAGTCCACCAATCGACAATGGCTGGTGACTTCTACTCTACCACCTCTATTCGAACTTATTAGTCGGCCGTTTCGCCTCCTTTGTGCTGGGTGGGGCTCCTGCTCTGGGCGGCTGTGGTGGCCTAATGGACTTGCTGCTGGTGGCGGTGGCGCACGTGCCAACAGAGAGGGCTCTGAGTGCCGCTTCTGGCACAAGTGCCATAGGTTCGCCACCACTGTTATAAACCATCCCAGCCTAACCAACAAGCATACCAACAAGAGTATCTCATTAACTAACAATTATATTCAACGTGATACCAATATCAGGAAACAATTTTAAAAATATGCAAAAGGTTGCTTTCAATTCCACTCATTCATTTTCAGTTAATTTCTTCTATTTTCATTAAGGCGCTCAAAGCAATTTAAAACCCTAAAACGAACTACTGTTTGTATAGTATGCCCATGGTTAAGATTTCCTGCATTTTAGCAAGCAATTTTCTATCTAGGAAGAAATGTCTTAACCTTCTACCTTCAGCTACCAAAAGAAGAGATGGTGGATTATTTCTGGATTCAAGAGTAACACTTAGGAGATTGGTGAATCTAAAGGATCCCTGACAAAGCTTGTTGTTACCTCCTTAGCCTGTTTCTAGATCAGGGGTCTTCAAACTCAGCCCTTTTACGACTCATGGACTTCAACTCCCAGAATTCCAGCCAGCGTACCTGGCTGAGGAATTCTGGGAGTTGGAGTCCATGAGTCATAAAAGGGCCGAGTTTGACAGGCTAAACTACCTAAGTCCTTTTTTGATCTGAAAGAGGATTGGGAGTTGCGAGATTTTTGGCGTGAACACAATTTGGAGGAGAGAGATTTCACCTTTTTTTCGGATAGACATCAATCTTTTTCAAGAATTGATTTTTTTTTATTACAACGGACTTATATTTTAGGGTAAAGAATGTTAAGATTCTTCCTAGGACATTGACGGATCATAGTCCAGTTTGGATGGAATTGATTAATGAAAAAGAGGAGAGGAGATCTTGGAGGCTGAATGAAAATTTATTTAGACAAGAAAAGAATGTTCAGAAATTAAAGGAGCAATTAAAGGAATATTTTGCTTTAAATATGTATAAGGGAACTTCAATGTCAATGGTTTGGAATGCAGGCAAAGCTTACATGCGGGGGGTCTTGATACAAATGAATAAGGTTTATAGACAGAAGCTGGTGCAGAAACGTAAGGAGCTGGAAGATGAGATTAAATTAAAAGAAAAAGTTTTAAGTTTGAATCCTACAGATGAAAAGATTAAAGAATCTATAAAATTGCTTAAATTACAATTTAATATGTTGATGGCTGATCAAACCGCAACTAACTTATTGTATATGAAACACAATACATTTTGCAATGCTAATAAACCAGGGAGATGGTTGGCTTATCAATTGCGAAAGAAGCAGAGGCTGAGAACTATAGATAAAACAAATTATAATGGTAAATTGGTATATCAGAAGGAGTTGATTAAGAAATCTTTCTTAGATTGCTATAAAAATTATATATGGGAAGGAAAGTACAGGCTTTAGATATAGATAAATATTTACAAGATGCTCATTTCCCTAAATTAACAGAAGATCAGAAACAAGAAATTAACGGTTTGATTACTATAGAGGAAATTGAGACAGTAATTAAAGAACTAAAATTAGGTAAAGCACCGGGCACTGATGGATTGACATCTATTTATTATAAGACTTTGATAGAAGAATTGATAGAACCTTTAAGGGAACTTTTTAATAATATATTACAGGGCTCAGAGACCCCCTTGTCTTGGGGTAGAGCTTTTATATCTCTGATTCCAAAAGAAGACCAAGATCTTACTCTACCAAAGAATTACAGACCTATATCTCTTTTGAATGTAGATTATAAGATTTTTTCGAAAATTCTAGCCAATAGACTTATGAGTGTGTTGAATCAATTAATACATATGGATCAAACAGGTTTTATAACTGGAAGGTATATGAAGAATAATGTTAGACAAATTATTAATTTAATAGAATATTTGGATAAAAACAACCAAGTTTCTGCAGGATTGATATTTTTAGATGCCGAAAAAGCTTTTGATCAGTTAAATTGGCAATTTATGTTAAGATTAATTGAGGAAATGAACTTTGGAGAAAAAATTTTACAGGCTCTTTGTGCTATTTATCAAAAACAAACGGCACAACTTATAGTTAATGGAGGTTTATCAGAGGTATTTTCAATTGAAAAGGGGACTAGACAGGGTTGTCCATTGTCGCCATTGTTGTTTGTTTTAACCTCGGAAATTTTGCTGATTAAAATCCGGGAATCACAGAAAATAAAAGGAATAGAAGTTAATAAAAAAGAATATAAATTAAGGGCTTTTGCAGATGATTTGGTTGTCACTTTATCTCAACCAACTCACTCTGTAATGGACTTGTTACAATTGATACATCATTATGGACAAGTTTCGGGTTTTAAAATTAACAATAAGAAGACTAAAATATTGCCTAAAAACATGACCAACTTGGACAAGGAGACCCTGGTTAGGTTGACAGATTTCGAGGTTGTTAACAGGGTAAAATATCTGTGGGTTATTTTATCTGCTTCCAATGCAAAACTGTATAAAAATAATTATGAAAGGCTGCGGGTTAAAATACAAAAGGATTTGGATAATTGGAAAAAGCTGCAATTATCCCTATTGGGGAGAATTGCAGTGATCAAAATGAATGTCTTGCCAAAGTTTCTTTTTTTATTTCAAATGATACCTATCTTAAAGAAAGAAGCAAATGTAGATGAATGGCAGAAAGATATCAATAAATTCATCTGGGCAGGGAAAAAACCAAGAGTAAAACTTAAAATCATACAAGATATTCGAGAGAGAGGTGGACTCAAGGTACCGAATCTGAAATTGTATTATGATGCTGTGGCGTTAACATTAATTAGTGATTGGGTTAATTTAACAAATGTAGATATACTCCTCCTGGAGGGATGGGATTTACTTTTTGGATGGCATGCCTATTTAATTTTTAATAAGAAGATGGATAGGGTTTTTAAGTCTCATATTTTAAGAACTTCCTTACTTCGGGTTTGGAAGAAATATTATAGAAGTGATTCAAGAATTCTATTATGGGCTATCCCATGGCATGCGATAGAAGGGATAAGGAGAGGAGTTAAGATGGATAGTATTTCTTATGCACAATTACTTCGATGGGCTGGTAAAAATTGGCAATTAAAACGTATGGATGAGCTAGCACAAGAAAATATTATTTATTCATGGTTTCAGTATAGACAACTATTGGATAGGTGGAAAGTAGATTATAATGTGGGTCTGCTTAGACAGGATGAGAATTTGTTAAAACAAATTAGAGATCAAAGTCGAACCCACATCAAAAGAATTTATGGGGTGTTAGTGGAATTGGACTCAGAAGCAGAATTAGTTAAAGATTGTATGGTTAAATGGGCACAAAACTTTGATGAACTGATTCCATTAGATACTTGGGAGATTATTTGGGTAAGAAATGTTAAATTTACACAAGCCCAAAATTTACGGGAAAATTTTTATAAAATGTTTTATAGATGGCACCTTGACCCACAGAAAATGTCTCGCATGTATTCAAACCTGCAGCCTAAATGTTGGAGATGTGGTTGCTTGGATGCTACTTATTATCATATTTGGTGGTCATGTAAAAACATAAAAGCTTTTTGGATTAAGATATGGTGGAATATTCAAAGAACTTTTAAAAGAAGGATAAAATTTACCCCACAACTGTTTTTGTTGGGTATTGTTTCGGATTGTGATAACAAAGAGACTATATTAATGTTAAATTTAATTACAGCGGCTAGGTTATTAATAGGGCAGTGTTGGAAGAAGGAATCTTTGCCTACCTTGCAAGAATGGTTTTTTAAAGTTTCCTACTTAGCGGAAATGGCAAAGATTTCGGCTTTCTTGAAAGAGCAATCGCAAGAGAAGTATTTTTTGGTGTGGAAAAGATGGATAAATTTCATACAATATAAGTATGATATAAAAAAATATTATTTAGTTTTTGAATAATTTATATTTAAAGTTTAAGATATTATTTAGAAGTATAATTAGAAGTATAATTATTATTACCTTTTTTTCTTTTTCTTCTTTTTTTTCTTCTTCTTGTTTCTTTTTTTTCCTCTTTCTGTTTTCTATATATATTGGTGTTAAAGTATTTTATAATTTGTTTAATGACTATAATCAAATTTGTTTATGGTTTATTGGTATTTAAATTTTTTCTTTTAAGTTTTAATTAAGCCTGTATTCAGCTCTGGGAAGATGGGGGGAGGGTATTGGGGTGGGTTGGGAGGGTTTGGGGAAGGGAATTTTATTGGAAGGGAATTTTATTGTAAAATTTTAAAAATTTTTAATAAAAAAAAAAAGGGCCGAGTTTGAAGACCCCTGATCTGGATAAAGCACTCTTACCCTTGGGATCGGGATTGGTAACCTGCAGCCTTGCAACTGTTTATGCTATAGGCCCAAAGTTTCAATGAGTATAAACAAAGGGATTTGTTCCTTTCTAGCAGCCTATAGAGCAGTGGTGGCGAACCTATGGTACGTGTGCCAGAGGCTGCACTCAGAGCCCTCTCTGTTGGCACACGCACCATCGCCACCAGCAGCAAGTCCATTAGGCTGCCACCACTGCCCAGAGCAGGAGCTCCACCCAGCACAAAGGATGCAAAGCGGCCAACTAGCAAGTTCGAATAGAGGTGGTAGAGCAGAGGTCACCAACCATTGTCGATTGGTGGATTGGAAGAAAAGGGAGGGGAAGCATTTTACATGCGTGCATGTGCGCAGGGGGCCGCAAGCACGCACGCGCTGCTAATGGGGCAGGGCTAGTGCCTGCGTGATACTTACTAGCCATGCCCCATTCTTGCGTGATGCAGCGCCTTGTATCTGCACTCCACGGCGTGGTGGTGGCCATTTTTGCACCTTGCAGCACGGTGGCCCATTTTTGCGCCCCCAGTTTTTGCGTGCCAGAGGTGGGACTCAGAGGCACCTCCCTGCCCCCCCCTGAGGGCACCACAATGTTGATGCGGTCCTGGTACTTTGTGATAAATAAGTGGGTTTTGGATTGTGGTTTGGGCACTCGGTCTGTAAAAGGTTTGCCATCACTGCTGTAGGGCAAGAAGCTCAAGGGAGAGAAAAAGAAGGATGCAGCCTGCCCCACTTTTAGTTCAGTACCTACCCACCCACTTCATCCCATGCAACTTCCTCTTCCCTCCCCAGCGGTTTACGCCCAAGGGAATTCAGCCTTCAATATAAAACAACCAACAACAAAAGGGAACCCCCTTTTTCTCACCTGTGCACAGTATCTTGGGCCTGCTGCTGCCAAGCCTCATTGTGAAGAAAATAACAGATGGCATGAGCATGAGTGAAAAACTCAGTGTACACGCCAAAAGCCACTGGATCCATGTGCTGTGTGCAGTCACGAATAGAGCTACCAATTTCACAGGGTGGGAACTTCCTCCCAGACCTGTCATGGAAAAGACAAAAACTTAATTGTTGGGGAGAAACTATACAGCCCCCCCCAAAAAAAAAGAGGGGAAGGGGGAATCCTCTTCTATGAAAAGGTGGCTTCCCTGTCTATATGGGAAGTAGCATAGCAGTGGCAGCTTGTGACATTCCATAAAACAGTATGCTTATTAATAGCTCTACGTAAAGCTTAATTAAACATCACTTTTCGCTGAAGTCTTTTGAGGTTCCTGATTTAGCATCAGATTACTGAAGCTAAATGCAGTCTGTGAGCTTCATCCAGCCACAGCTGAATTGTTCTAAAGATTGTTCTCACTGCTGTTGTATCAATACAACATAGTTAAAGGACCTCAGAAGTTATTTGCATTTTATTCCTTGCTCAAGAGTAAGACAGAATGTATTGGCCTTAGAACAGGGGTCTTCAAACTTTGGCCCTTTTATGACTTGTGGACTTCAACTCTCAGAATTCCTCAGCCAGCCATGCTGGCTGAGGAATTCTGGAAGTTGAAGTCCACAAGTCATAAAAGGGCCAAAGTTTGAAGACCCCTGCCTTAGAACAACATTAGGCAACCACAAAGCTTGTATAACTTGTTAGGCACTGTCACCATTATCACTGAAGGAAGCCAGATGACTGCAGTGATTGGGAACAGTGGCAGGATAGAGACCAGAAATAAGGAGAGCAAATTTCACACCGGTATAGTTTTCTGTTGGCCCAAGAACGGGCAAGAAGCCCTTCAAATTGAGGATAGAGAAAGGCCCTATGCTTTGACTCTGTTCTTCACCCCTTCCAATTGTACATTCTCTGAGCAGATAAAAAATTACCTCAAACTTCTTGTCTATCACTGCTCTATAGCCTACACCCCGAGCTGTACCCAACTCTAAGGTCAGCGGTGCTTAGTAAAGGGAGCACCTACAATAGGTGAAAGCATACCTGCCCGTCACTTTGCAGTTAAAAGAACAGGAAGACTGAGAAGGGGGTAGAATTTTAACTTTGCTTCCTCCTCCACCCTGTGATTAAACCCAGATTCTAGACTCCTTCAGCTTAGATACTTGACTCACCGTTGTAGGTGGCAATGAGCAAATGCCAGTGCAATGCGGCTTTGCTGCTCTTCATTCAACTCCTTGCACCCACCATCCAATTGCCTCAAGGCCTCCATCCAACAAGGTCCATATCGTGGGTGTCGAGCTAGCTCCTGAACCCATTGCAAGTGGCTCCTGCCTTGAGACAGTAGCCCAGGATCTGGAGAATATAAATCACAAGCAATGAAGCAGAAGGAAAACAGCAACAGGCTGCCTGGATGGTACCCCATGGTAGTAACCACTGCAGCAAAGCAATCAGTGAGCTAAACTAGCCAAAATTAGTTGAAGCTGCTGATGAGAAGTTTGGGTGGGTATCCTTCCAGGGTGGAGCACCTGAGCGATAGGGAAATGAAAGCCTTCAAATGATGGTAGGAACTTGGCTAAAGGATGAGTGTTTGGCTTTACTCCTAATCACACCCTAGGACTTGTTTTTGATTTAGTATTTGGTTCTACTATAGAGCAGAACAGTCATAACATAGGCAAGAGTGTTTTTCTCACCTGTCTCTGGTTTTTCACCATTCTAGTTTGTAAATTACAGTTAATAGCTTATGTGGGATATTCAGTAGTGATTTAATCAATAGCTGCTGTGCAAGAAGTTACAGTAAAATCTCTGTGGTCTGGATTATGTTACACTATACTTTTTACAATGTAGTATAACTTATTTAATTACAGTATTATAAAATATTTAGAATATAAATTGCTCAAAAATGCAGGGGAAATCCCTGGACAACTTTGATCTATTTTCTAGTGGTTCCCTAATTCAAGTGATATTTGCTGCCCTCTAGTGGATATAACGTTTAAAAAAATCCCGTTCTTAAATTAAAACGAGAAAAAGGGATATCCATAAGCACTTTAAAACTGGAATCCAAATTTGTGGATATTAAGATGTAAAGTTTTTTATTTGCTCTTGTAACACTAGGAAACACGCAAGTATTGTACTGCTGAAAAAAGTATGTCTGCATACAGATAATTTATAGAGCCACTGATTCCACATAGTATAAATGAGGAAGCAGCCTCTATGAACATTCATTTTAAAAGTATAATCATGTCAGCCACATTTTCTTCCAGGAATCTGTACACAAGATCCAGTTATTCATGAATTTGTATGAGGCATGCACATCAAAGCACACAGAATACGTTTTTAACATGTCTGTATGCTTTGCTTATGTTTGCTGCATTTTTATTTCAGCTTTCTTTCCCTGAAAGAAGCTATTTGTCCTACAACCCTCATCTCAGCCACTTTGGTTATAATTATATATTGGATGTGAATTTTAGCCCACACAGCAAGAAATCAGGGAAAGTTTTATTTGCAGCTTCTAAATATTATAAGGGTTAGTTAGGTCTGATTCAAAGAACATTGAAGTATATTTAACTATGATTTATTTTATAAACCACAATTTGGCTAGATTCATCTAAAATGCTAACTAATGATTTGCTGGGTTTACACAATATATGCTAAGCCAAATAACTGTTACAGTCTGAGATAATAAAGATCTTAAAACATGATCTACAAATCAATGGATTAACACAAGATATATTATTACATCCAAGGCAGGTTGAATAATTGAATCATATAGCATAGCCCTTAGACAAAACAATATTTTTGGTAATCTCATTACAATAACGTGCTAGGAATGGTGCAGTATGCAGTTTCTTCTTTCTCTAAAATGTTTATGCAGTACATAATAAACTTTCTTGTAAAATATAAATGTAATAATGCAATTGAGTGGTTTATGTAATTCATACTTCGAACAGTTAGTGCTGTTACTAAACTTCTCCAATAGGGTAAAACACTACACTAACCAACGTAAGCAAAATATTATTTATATACACAAGTGAGATTGAACACATAACCAGTATTATAGATTATTGTATTATGTAACTAGACCCTAGATTAGCTTTGCATTTACTAAATGTGACTTATACAATTAAAATGTCAGTTTGCTGAGTATAATTGGTTACAATCATATATTTGTCACAGGCTATGGTTTACAAACCACAAGAGTTTAATAACTCAAAATCTATTATGGTTCAGATATGTGAACCAGATTAAATATAAGCATTTTTACACACAAACCTAATTTGAATTAATTTACATCAGGTTAGTATACTATTATTAGAATGTTGCATGTTATAAGTATTTAACATCAGTTTGTGTTGGACATATTTCATTACATTTAATAGAAAAATCTGTTTAGAGGGAAGACATCTGCAAACTGCAAGTAATATTTATTGAAGCTAATGAAAGATATTACAAAAAGGCTAAAATTACTGTATGGCACTTGATGAATCCGGTTAAACAAGCTTTTGTTCCATTTCAAAAAGCTACAAAACTAGATTGGTTACCAATGGGTTAGGGATGTGTTTGTACTACCAGAAATAATAGCTTCCGAGTGCCTACAACTTCCGTTAAATTAAAAAAGAGCAAAGTTTCCTCCCATGTTACTTCAAGAGGCCTTATATTATAACTAATAAAATTACAATGTGTTCAGAATTATAAGTCTAGATTATAGCGAAATATTTATCAGCAATGAAGTTGGACTATATATATCTATATATCTTCTCACAGATTTGAATGCTACTTTAAAACTGCCCTTCTAAAAACTTGCAATTCGTGCCTGATACTTCCAAAGCTACCGTTTAATCTTAAGGAATAACTTGATAAAGGTTTAAGTTCTTCTTTTAAATGAAATTTAATTCCTGCCATTTTTTTTTAGCACCAACGGATGAGTGGCTTGACTCTGCCTTCTTCCAAGATTTTTTTTTTTTTCGTGGCAGATTTTCAGCTCTTAGCCTATTACAGCCCGGAATTTCTTGGAGATCTCCCAAATAGAACGAACTTTCGAGACAGCTTCGCGCGCTCACGCGGCGGAGGAAAGAACTTCCCCACGCGTTCCGTAGCACGCCTGCGCCCTGCAAAGGAGGGCGCGAGGGCGAGAAAACAACCCTGCACAGCTAGAGGGCGTCCGCGGCACCCCAGTGTTCCGCCTGTTTGGAAACAAGTCTTCCTTGTTTCTTTATTTCTCAAGCTTTCGCGAGAATTCCGCTTAGTGCCCGCGAAGTTATGCGAGAAGAGGGAAAACCCTAATTTTCGAGGCGGTGCCCGGGACGCTTCTACCCCGGCCTAGCCTCCGTTGCTTTCCTCGAACCTCCCCAAAGCTCAATGCCTACGAAATCTCGCTACAGGTTAAACAAACGCTACACACTTCCGCAAGCCGTCATTAGCTCTCGCGAGATTTAATCTCAACGCACCGTCTCCCCCCCTCGCAACGATTGACTCAGGTACGCAAGTCTCGGCATTTCGTGGGTGCTCTACGAAGTCTCGCGGGAGTTTTCTCTAGCTGCTAAGTTTCCTTTTTGTCTGCCCCTTCAGTGGAAGGCTGATGAAATTTTCAGGATTTAGCCTGGTTGAACCGCGGACGGTTTCTCACATGATGTAATTTTCAAAAACTTATTGTAACCAGCAGAGATAAAAAAGACAATTACTGGCTGGATTTGTTTATTCAGAGCGTGGAACTTGAGCGCAGGATTACAATGGCCCTTCCAATATTCTGCCTGAGGCAAAGAGCTCCGCGGAGGTGAATGCCATTGCAGGCGCTCGCGCAGTTCTCTTCTGGTTTGTTCTTCTCGCGGAAAGTGGTTGCCTGAGACAACATCCCGCGAGATTTTCGTTTCCTCATGACTTGCCTGCCTCCCCGCTCCTCCAGTTCTCGTCTGATCTTCCCTCAATTATCGCGTCTCTTCTTCGCTCTCTACCAGGTGGTGAGTTCTCGCGTGATTTAACTGGGGCTGAGGCTCAGGGACTGCTGTTAAGATGGCGGCGGCGGGAGGCAACGGGGTACGGCATTGACACCCCCTCCATTTCTTCCCCGGAGCAGGTATCCGTGCAGCGGGGGTGGAGGGGCGCATGATATCCGCGAAGATGGGGAACAGTGGAGGCTGTAGCCGAAGGGAAAGAGGGAAGGTGGGGTGAGAAATGGGATGTTTGCTGAGGCGGGACAATGGGCCCTGGCTTTCCCCTGGAGATGAAGGGGGGTGGCGGTGATTGAAGTCGGGAAGTAGTGGTTTTGCCTTAGGTCATCCTTCGGGTGGGAATGGGTTAGCCATTTACGAAGTACTTCGTCTCTGTTCCTTGGAGGTAGTACTTCCCCTATATCTCACTCGCACATCACCCGCAAAAGGAGGCACGTGAGTCCCGGAGAGTCACGCTAGCCCGTCCCCTCGGATAGACTTCGGGCTTTTTCCTCACCTTTTGGGTAAAACGCGACGTACTGAACTAGAAGCTAGGCGGTCGACGCGTTAGGCTTGGGAGCCCAGCCCGCGTACTTCGTCCAGGGTTCCACCTCAAAAACCCAGGCAATCGTATGAAAAAATATAGTTGAGGTAACCGTAGGGTGAAAACTATGGATTGAAACAATTGCGCTATTTCACGTCAGTATATTGCAGTGTGCTTGTGAACGTTGCTGCTTCTCTTTGGTTGGAGGAGACTATTGGGAGCTATTCTTACGTTGGTAAAGGATATATTTTTTAATCTATATAGATAATCTTTATAGTTTTCTTAGAGCCTAGTTTCATAGTCCTTAGATGTGTTTCTTGATTCCCCCCTCCCCCATGTATTAGCTTTCCCTCAAAGTGTGTAGAATTACGTTTTCTTGGTTCTGGGGTTATGTATGTAATGAAAGGATGCCTTTGTGTATAGGTCTATTTTTGTAAGCCTGCTGTGAAATACTTCCCTACCTTTGTTGTAAATATCTCTCCAAATTGATTTCAGAGTGGTGTTTGGACTCTGATCTTTCCTTCATAATGGATGGTGGTTTACTTTGTTTAATTCTAAATAGCAAACTCAAACATTTCTTGTGTAACTCATCATTTTAAATTTCTCTGAGTGTCTTTTTGTAAGATATGTTAGATAGAGAATTGTGTCCCAAATAGGTTTCATATGTATGCTTTTCTAACTCTTCAGTTGGAGAAAACCAAACCTGAACAACTTTTATGCTGTGGTTGTAGCATATTAAAATGAAAAGCAGGATGGGAAAATGCACAATTGATTTACTGGCAGATTTCTTAGCCAGATATTTTTGTGTATATGGCTGTTTAATTACTCATTTTTGCTGGCATATTTAAGATGAAATTTATTTCTCCAAAATCTGGTTTTTTAGATTAACTACAAGAATGGACAAGAGTTGGTAATAACATTTTTTAAAAAAATGTTATATCTTAGTATTATAGAAGTAAATATTAATTCTGAAAGCTTGTTTTGGCATTTTTGTTAGGTCTCCATTGCATAAAATCTTCTCGGATACAAGAAATGATGAAGCAATGTGCTGAGTCTATAGCATCGCTTAGTCTGCCCTGTTTGTGTTGACTAGAAGAATGTAGGATGCTTATTCTGTATTGGTGGTAAACAAAATAATTACACATGAGATGAATGGCATGATTTATGGGTTACTTAGTGAACTCAACAGGACTTGAGAGCCAGTGTTATGTAGTGGTTAAGGTACTGGACTAGAAGTGGAGAGAGCCAGATTCTAGGGTACTCTCAGCCATGAAGGTTCACAGTCTCAGTTCAGTCTACCTCATAGGATTGTTGTGGGGGAAAAATAAGAGGAAGGATTTTAACTTCTGTACAATAAAGGTAAGATATAAGCCTATTAAATATCTTGATTATATCACGAAACATTAAGCATCTAATATTAGGCATCTAAAAAGAATTTAATAGCTAAGAAGATAGGTTAAAAAAGACAAATCATTTGGAATATAGTAGCTAGAATGAAAACCTTTTTAGAAAATATCTGTTCTTTAAACATAATATGCATGAAGTCAGAATTTATATCTATTGCAGGTCTTGAATAATCTGACATAAGTGGATTAGACTGACTGAGAAACCAGGAAGTATTACCTTGGTCTGGCTACAGTAAGGCAAAGGTGGCGGAAAAGTGATTTGAATATCAGACCAGGCCAAGTATGGATTGGCTGTGATTCCAGGTTAGTACAGAAGTTTCTATTGGACTATTTTCACTCAAAACAGTAATTCCATGAAATATCTCAAAGTTATTAATTGATTTTCAGGCAATGACTCTTGGTGAAGTGTTTTTGACTCTTACCTGTTTGTATATATCTGTCACTGTTTATTTCTTGTGTGTATGGGGGGGGGTGGAATGGCTTCCTATAGTAAAGTGTATGTAACAGATGGGCAATTTTCATAATATTCCTGACCATTAGGGAAGTCTTAGCATGCTGTAAATGATTTTTTTTTTTTTGCTACATCAGCAAGCCCTGTACAGTGTAAGGCCTGGATATCTGGGAAACTATTTGTCTCCAATTGTTTCTGCCTGCCCGGTAAATTCCAGTAGAATGGGTGCATTCCAGGTCTCCATTAAGCATTGCCATCTTGTGGGACCTAGGAAGTGTGTCTTCTCTGTTATGGTTCCCATCCTTTGTAACAGCATCTTTCTAGAGATAAGAATGGTGCTCTCTCTCTCTCTCCTGATATTCTGGAAAGCTTTGAAAATCTGGCTTTGGTCCCAGGCTTGCTGTTGATGTTCATTTGTTCAATGGCCTTTGCTTTGGATTATTTTAGTCTGGGTAGTATAGTTGATTCAATGTCTTTAACTGCTTTTATGTTTTTACTAGTTTTGTATGCCAGCCAGAATTCACTAGAGTTGGGCAGTCAGTACATAATAATTGAGGCTATCATATATCAATTTTTATATTTCTAAATTCTGTAGGAAACTGGCTAGTATATAAAGCTCTTCATTTTTTTCTTGGCTATCTTGACTAATACCATTAGAAAATTAGTATTGTATTTGAGTTTCAAATCCTGTATCTCTCATTTCAATATACACAATATTGAGGTGATACTGAATTTTCCCTGCTATTTCTGTTTGGAAATATTGGGTTATAATTGTACTTGATTTTTTTAATAAGCTACTTGGAAACAATAGTTGGATTTTTGAAGCTTTGCAATCAGGTTTTCTTGCTTTTTATGTATTTAACCAAACTTATAAGTAGAACATTATAGCCAACTGATAATGATAATTTGTTTTCCATGCTCCCATCTTTCAAGAATTACTTGTATTAATCTTATGATACTTGTGACATCTG